CAGGAATGCAAAAATTTGTGTCATTAGTGGTGCATTACGATACATCTGCTTTCAAGAGAGCCATTCCAGTGGAACGAAAGTAACGCTACACTTGAGATTCCAGTAATGTTTGTGTGGGCACTTATAAAAATTAGGTGCTTTTCTTGTAGGAATACCTTGTAGTGTACCTTCCAGTAAGTTTATGAAGTAACTGAAACTATCCGACTTCTGGCAAAGAGGTCTGCAAAGAGATGTTGAACACGGGGGAAAAAAAAGCATGTATCTACGCACATCTATACATATAGGTTACATTTGAAAGGGGGAGCCGCAGTAGAAGTTTGACATGACAGAATCCACAGGGTAAATGGATTGTGCTACGTTTGTAGTCACTCTCTTTTTAATAAGCTGTATCTCCCAACCCAAGCAAGCAGCGTTAGTGCGGATCAAAAATAGATGCCCTGCTAAAGCAGAGTTAAACAGGTCACTTTCTTTTCCTTTTCCTTCTACCCACAGCAGGATTTTGACACCTTGTATTGCAAAATGACAAACAGTCTCCCAGGTATTCTGCTGCAGATGCCAGCCAGAACAGTTTTCCTCCCCACCCCAATATGTAAAACGTACTTGCAACCAGAACACCAGTTACCCCCTGGCCAACCAGGAAAGGATTTTCTCATTCCCTTGGTGACTTCAAGTCCTGACAACTTAATTACTGTAATTGAAGGCAAATATGACTTGAACTCTACACATTTCTTTTATAAAATACATTAGGCATAAAAAAAAAAATGTTCCTTTGGTTAAGCCGAGGAGTTCAGAAGGTAGGCGTGATCCCAGAAAATAAGAAACTTGCTCAGAAACTCCTTTATTGATAAGAATTTTAATAACCACGGGCCACTGAACACAGAACTAACAGGGCATGGAGACAAGCAAAGAGGTGCCAACCCTAGAAAACCTCTCAGTTTAGGAAAAGCTTATGTGAAACCATAAATCACCTGAAAGGGCTGTTAAATGCCAGAAGCGTTCCCCCTCCCGTGATGTACCTGTCCTAGTAGCCATGGGAACACCGCTGAACTCTAAACATGGGTTTTCTCTAACCTCTCGACAGGAGACTCACCGTTTATGCACTTCCTCCCCTGCTTGGCCCAACACACGCATATAAAAGTTTCAAAGAAAAGTAAGATACACATACTTAAATGTGTACTGTGTTGCGGCAACCTCTAAAAAGCAATTTGTTACACAAGATAAAAGACAGAAGGAAACACTCCTGCTCCAAAGAACTGGTGATCAAGTAAAAGGAGAATGGCAATCGTGCTGGAACCAGTCGGAGGCCTGAAGATTGGGTTTTGGAGGAGATATGTTTGTCCACACTGTGAGTTCCAAAACTGCCAACAAAATTGGGCTGAGAAGGTAAAGTTAAAAGGACTTGGGAATATTGGCCTCCAGGGAATTCGTAGGATGATCCCAAGCAAGAGAGAAGGACTGATTGAAACATGGTGTTAAATGTGGAATGACGAAGAGGAAATAATAGGAAAATTCAAGGAGAGGCTAGAAGTGCACAGGAAAAGATGAAGGTCAATTATAGCCAGAAGTCCCCTGTAAATATCATCTGCTTATGCAATTAGTTAAATGTATGGAAAATAATTTGAAGCACATAAAGTACTCTAAATACCACTGTTGGGTTTTTTTTCTGCCTGCTTTCTTTAGGCACTTGAGACACACAATGCTGATTTAATCATTAAGTTAGTACACTAAACTTATAGAGTGAAAACCTGGTTCCCTTGAATCCTGCAGGATCAGGATTGCATCTCTAAGGCATCGTACTCTCAGAGCACCTTTCAGCCACAGTTGTTTAGTGAAGAAAAAAATAGGGGAGTATGGTCAATTATATAAACAATTCCCATCACATTGTGTAAACAGTTCGGCAACAGTAGAAGCCCGAAGTGGAAAGTATTTAGACACCTCATGAAATCAAATGAGTTTGAAACCCAAGTATCTTTGGAGATTTAAGACCTTAGGTTGAAGAATTAAAATCCCAAAAGAAAAACTGCATCCGCATGTCACTCTGGGAGGAAAAGTGAGATATAACCAACCAGCAAAGACAAAGGCTGCCAGTACATCAGCAACAGAAGCAGCTTGGATTAATTCAGTGAAGTTCCCCTCCTCCTCAGACTGCAAGTGTTTCTGTCTTAGCACCTACATCTTAGAATCAAAAAAAGAGGAATCAAAAAATTTACTATACAGTCTCAGATCTGCCACATACAAACTACAATTACTTACATAATTTCACACGTCTTTGCTTCCTTGTTTGCAAATGAGGGGGTAACTTATTCACAAGCAATTTTGTTAGCTCAAGTTCACAAAAATGACACAAAAGGAAAAGCACAGAAGGGGTGAGCATAAAGGCAGAATAAAGCTAAACTATAATTTCAGTGATTCTCACTCAAATGACAGAAAATGGGCTAGATAAGTAAGTAGAGGCTAAACCTCCAGCTTGAGTCACAAGGCAATCACACGATCATTCATAGTTTTAAAATGCAACAACCTCTTTCTGCAGTCTGGCTGAACCACAGTGATTAGCTACTTTCTTGTTGAGAAACCATAACAATAAGATTAAGAATAATCCTGTTCCGTTTCTGCTACTTCAGATCCTCACTGCAGAGGTGCCTTGGTATGACCCCCATGCAGCGCACAAAACTCGACTGGCAAGAACTGAGAGCATCCCTGTATCTTTCTAACCCAGGTCTAGCTCTAATGGAGGGAAGCACAGCAGATTATTCATGAAGAGTCACTCTGGAGCTTTGCAGACTTTAAGGATGACAGTCTTGCTTTAAGGAGTTGACAACTTAAAGTTAACTATGAGCATAAACATTTGGATCGGGATCAAACAGGCAAGAGAGTGAACAAAGACTTGTAGCATGATGAGTTTAAGCAGGATTAAAATAAATACATGCATAAATAAGGCCATGTACCATCAGTTCTGAAGTCAATTCTGGCATAAGAACAGGTACCCAGGAGGCTCTAATGTTTTCAATTTACCTGATTAAGATTGGTATACTGCAGACAGCATCTTGTGAAGAACTAATGATAAGACTCCAATGCAGAAAGGGCTGATGCAGAGAGAAAAAGAGACAGTTTTCCTTGTGCTTACGAGGAAGAGGACAAGCAGATATAAATTACCAACATGACAAATCTATCAGTATATATGTAAAGCCTCGACAACCACTGGGAGTCTCAACCATTGAAAGCAACTCAGGCAACTATCAGGAAAGCGTTAGGTAGAGTTAGTCCTTGCTTGGAATGGAAAATGGAAGATCTGGACTCTACAAGCATCTTCCAGCCCCATAATGCTTTAAAAACTTAAAGAGAGAGACAATTTGACCTCCTGGTAATAAAAGAGGGTTTAATGAAAGAGATGAAAAGCAGGAACACTAAACTTGGAAAGAAATGGTAAAAATTCAGGTCACTTGCAATTTCCT